TGCATCTCCTCTTTCATAATTTTCGCTTGCCTGCGTTGTTGACGCCAACACTAAACGCTCATCTCATCAGCGCTGCGTCTCGGAATCGAATGCAGAATTGATGATTGCATCTGAATGATTTTAATAATAAGGGCACGATGTTCGTTAATTACCCAATCAACCAATCGTTAATTACCCAATCAACCAATCGTTAATTACCCAATCAACCAATCGTTAATTACCCAATCAACCAACCAACCAATCTTGTCACAGGTGAACCTTCTTCTTCCACTCGTCAAGATGGTAGATTGGATTGATAAAAATCAGTGGATGAATTGATTGAACTCATTGAATTGAATACGCATTGATTGAAATCGGTAATCAACGATCGGCTTCATCTGTTTCATCGTTTGTTTGTTTTTTTCCCACTTTTGTTTTTTTCATGCTCACCGCCATCATCGAACGTGCTATACGCTCATCATCATCAGCTTGCTATCACATTTCTTTTTTTTTATTATTATTATTATTATTATTATTATTATTATTATTATTTTTATTATTTACAAAAAAAAACTTTGGAACAAAGGACCGAATCTCAACAGATCGTGACGACAAGGCCACTCTACTGCTTACAACACCCCGTTCCCATCTTCCATCAGCTTGTTAATCGCATTTCATCTTCCTCGAAATAAGAGAGAGCTGTTGAACTCGGTTCCACACAATAGATGATGGCATTCAAAATCTCTCTCTATATACTCCAGCAGTATTCTCCCTTTCCTCTGTCTCGCTATCATACATCGCATCTCTCTCTCTCTCTCTCTCTCTCTCTCTCTCTCTCTCTCTCTCTCTCTCTCTCTCGATCGATCGATCGATCGCCTTCGCTCTTGAGAGACGGAACTCGAGGACCCGTGGGAGAGTCGGTATCGCCAGCTGGTCATTGTTTTTTTAACAGAATACGACCAAGATATCCATTTAGTGAAACATTTAAAAAAGAAACGACAGACTCAACCCCTGGAGCCGGGACCCACTACATAGCATCGAGTAAATCGGTGTGTGGCGGCCGTTTCTTAAAAAAAAAACATATAAAGAATCCTTTTTTTTTATGTTCAGAAATGCAAAGAAAACAAGGCCAACGCTATGCATCCACACTTCCACCAACCCGGTACATCTGCATGCGACCTTCCCGCCGGCCTGTTCGCAGACTTTCCACGGAAATCTCAATATTCTCAATTTCTGCGAAAAAAAATAGCAAGGCGCGGAGCTTCAAAAACACCCCTCGCCCTAAAAAAAACATAGTATTGCAGCTTCGCGCCAACGCAAAGTGGCTACCTAAATGGACAAAAAATTTGAAGAAAATGAAAACGAAACTCTTCTATTGGCCGGCGGACAGATACCTCAACGATATCGGTCCTTATCGCCCTGCGCCGAAGATGCACAAAAGGATCAATGGCCGCCGGATGTCACCTCTCGCCGCACGTGGTTGAAAACCAAACTGCCGAAGCGTAAATCGATGCTAGTGGGTCCCGGCTCCTGGCATCCAGAAAAGAAAGATTCATTGACAAGAAAAAGAGAAAGGCAAGATTCAACCCCTTGCAT